TACCTCCTCCAGCCTTGCTCACCTTGACCCTCCTCCTCCAGTGACCCTGACTGGCCCTGCCACTTCTTGGCAAGATGTAAAATGCCTCTCAGGGACCACATGCAGTATGGATGTCCCCCTGTCTGTTCCCTGCCCATCCTCCGCCTGTCCCCAACTTGTCCCCCACCTCCAGGGCTGCCTTCCCTGGTGCGGCAGCCCACACCTCCTCCCCACCCCCACTCCAGGTCACAGACTGTGACAAAGTCTTATTGCCTGTCTCTGGGAATTCATCCTCTGTCTCCTCTGTTCCACCTCTCTGGGGCTCCCGCCCCTCCCCGGCCCTCCGCTTCGTGCCCCTCACGTTTGCCAGGCAGCTGGCTGCCTTCATTATTTTTACGCCAACACAGTTTAAAAATCTCCGCTGCCTCCTTGCTGTCTGCAGAGAGGCGGCTGCCACATTACCCTGACATGCTGATGTCATTAGTGTCCACGCGCCCTCTCTTCAGCTAATGAGGCGGCAGAAAGAAAATTAAGGGGAAAAATCACACAGGCACATTGCTTTCTGCGTAGATGGAGGAATCAAACAAGGGCAAGAAAACAGGCGTGCTCAGCCCACGGCACCCTCCCTGGGGACGGCGAGCCTGGAAACGCAGCCTGGCTTTTGACTACCACTACTCCCAAGACTGCACCAGAACACTGAGAGATTGGGGAGCGGGGGGAAGTCACTGGCCCTCATTCTGGAGTTAGGTCTGAAAAAGAAAATGAGATGGAGGGAGCTCCCTGCTTTTTGTTTTGATGGTTCTTTGAGACAGAGTCTCGCTCCGTAGTCCAGCTGGCCTTGAAGTCACTGCACAGCCCAGGCTGGCCTCAAATTTGTAGTGATCCTCCTGCCCCAACCTCTCCAGGAGTGCAGGAGGTGTGGGTGTGCACCAGTACCCGTGTCCAGCAGGGAAGCCAGGCCAGGGTTTTTGGATACATTTAGAATCTATCCTTTTCCCCACCAACCCGTACTCTCCCTGCTCAAGCCCTCTGCAGCCCTCTGCCAGATTTCCACATTGCTTGAGGCTTTCTCTTGCTATGTGCGCCTCCCAGGCCCTCTGCAGCCCCACCCTACTCTCCTGGGCTCGAACCCGTGCTGTGCTCTTGAAGTGGCAGAGAGGGGTAGAGACAGGGCCCTGGGCTGCATTGCTGCTTCTCAGATTCCTTTCCAGGGTAGAGGGGCCAGCAGAGAGTGAAGAGCCCTCCTGTACTCCAAGGAGAGCAGAAATGCACAGGGACGGCTGTGGCAGGCACTCGGCATGGCTGTCTCTCTGTCCTTTGGGCACCAGGTCCTGCCCTGACAGTGTCCACAGTCCAAGCCCCACCACAGCAGGCCACTAGTTCCTGCTTTAGGCTTTGTTCCGGGTACTTCTGGCAGGGAGCAGGGAGCAGTCAGGCAGGCTGGCCTGGCACTGTCATTGCCCTGGCTTCCGAAGCCGGGCCTCCTTTGATTTCAGAGGTTCAGCTCATGCCAGGCTCGGATGGAGGCTGTGTCCCCCTGCTGGGGGCTTGGCGCCTTTGTCTGGGCATGAATTGTGATTTATGGCCCAGCTCGCTGTGAAGCCTTTTGCCTCAGTAATTCTGAGCTCCACGGGTGTCTCCTTACATCTATTTAAAGCACGGCTGTTGCCCACGGGCCATGTGCCCTTGACACCCTGGAGCTCCACGCTCTCCTTGCTGTGCCCAGAGTCCTGCACACAGAGCATATGTGTGCTGGGCTCTGGCCATGCTGTCCCTTTGATGTCTTGCCTGGTGATCAGACCTCTTTCCTAGTGGACACTCACAGAGAAGGAGCAGAGGAGGATGCTGTCTCCAGCTCTTCACAGTGGGTTTTTGTTTTGTTTTTTGGTCTTTTTGTTCCAGGCAAGGTCAGAACTTAGAGTGGTGTTGCACCCTGGTCAGGCATCAGGGTGCCCCCTAGAGGTGCAGGGATGTAAGTATAAAGAGGTGAGATGTTGCTTGGCCAGACTGGAATCTCTGACTCAGTTCAGCACTGATCGGAGGTCTGCCTGTCCTAAACTCAGCGCAGGTAGTGGTGGGCAGTACTTTCTGGTGAAAGCATCCAGGTATTCAGATTTCTCCAAGAAAGCCCAATTCTTTCCTTACTTGTGCAGAGCTGACTGGAGGGGCCAAGCACCTCTCATGCCTTCTCTAATACTATCCCTGACCCAACTGCAGGCCCGACCCGGATGGCCAGTGGTACTGACTACACCTCCTTCATGTGTGGCTGGCCCAGCATTGGGGAGGCCCAGAAGGGCACCTTACCCTGCATCTCCAGGTCATGGTGGAATTCCTACCGCCTTGGAGACAGTTCAGGCCACCAGAGGTCTCCAGAGGTGCCTGGGCAAAGAGCAAGCAAGCCAAACAAAGCTTTCTTCTTCGTCGTCATCTTCTCCTTCTTCTTCTCCTTCTCCTTCTCCTTCTCCTTCTCCTTCTCCTTCTCCTTCTCCTTCTTCTTCTTCTTCTTTCTCCTCCTCCTCCTCCTCCTCCTCCTCCTCCTTGTTTTGTATTTTTAGGGCAGGGTATACAGGGTCTACAGGGTCTTACTACACTTACCACACAGATCAGACTCGTAGTGATTCTCCTGTTTTCAGCTTCCTAAGCACTAGGATTACAGGTGCGCCACCATGCCCAGTCTCAGTTGCCTTCTCAGTGTGCCCTGGGGGCAGGGCTGCCATGGCAGGCCAAGGATCAAACCACTGACCCCTGTGTTTGCCTAAGCAGGCTCTTTAATCCGCTGGGCTATCTGGCTGGCCCTCCAAGCCCTATTCTTTTTTTAAAATATATTTATTTAAAATTTATTTATTTATGTGTGTGTGTGTGTGTGTGTGTGTGTGTGTGTGTGTGTGGCCAGCTCAGCCCACCAGGGGACAGGGCTGGCTGGCATGTGGTGCTGGGGGATTGAACTGCGGTCTCTGTGCTTTAGCTTAGCTTGTTCTAGGTAGGTGCTTTAGACCACTGAGCCATCTCACCAGCCCACCAAGCCCTATTCTTGACCAGACCACTCCTGAGGCACACTGATGGTTTTCTCCTTGTGCTTTGTGACAGCCTGCCCCACAGGTCCTCCCCTGGTCCATCCCATGGGCAGATTTTGCTTTCCACTGCTCTGTGGTTTCCTGTGTGACCCAGGTGGAGGGGCACATCTTGGTTTGATACAACGTGAACTGCAAAGTGGAGGCATCATGATTCCAAGTTACAGGGTGGGGAACTAAGTAACCAGAAATGCAGAGAAGTAAGTTGGGAAGGGAGAGGACCTTGCAGAATATGAGGATGCTGGCATCATCCCTCCCCAAGCTAGTCTGCCTGCTGTGCTGAGGCCCATGCAGTAGGAGAGCCGCGCGGGCCAACTCTGCAAGGCCAGGGTGGTAGTTTCTAAAGGGGGTCATCATGTTTTTCAGGCGAAGACACTTGGGGCATTGTCCTGGCGGCTTCCACTTTTCACGCTCCGGGTGCAGACACTTTGCTCTGAACACGTCTATTATGCCCAGTGAGCATCTGAGACCAATGTGGGAATCACTCTATTTTAGACCATCCAGAATGGTGTTATTCAGGATAAACAGCTTTTCAGGTCTCTGTTCAAAACTTACCAGACCAAAACATGCCTTTGTATGTGTGCCTTGGGTGACAGTGGTCATGTTTAAATTAAGTTCACCAAAATTTTAGACCCAATGGAATGTTTTCCATCAATGAAATCTTTGAAGGAAGACACTCCTCCCCACCAATACTTAGGGGATTTTTGGAAACGCATTCAGTCTTTTCGTCATTTTTTTCTTTCTTTCTTTTTTCTTTTTTCTTTTTTTTTTTTCCCCAGAACCAGGGATTGAACTCAGGCCCTTGCGCTTGCCAGGCAAGTGCTTATTCTACTGAGCCATCTCCCCCCCTCATTTTTTTTTCTTTTTTAAAAACGTATTTGGTACAGGGTCTCGCTAAGCAGCTTGGACTCATAGCAGCTTGGACCCTCCTGTTTTCAACCTCCCCTGCACTGGGATTATAGCTGTGTACCACCACAGCCGGTCTTGGGGCGGCTCAGCATGCCTGGGGGCGGGGCTGGCATGGCATGTGGGGCAGGGGATTGAACCCTGGTCCCTGTGCTTGCCTAAGCAGGCTCTTAGTCCACTGAGCTATCTCGCAGGCCCTTGCTTATTTTTCCTGAAGGGCAATCTTTGTTCATTATTGTTATTTCAGGGTGTATCTGGCAGGTGGAAGAAGTGCCAAGATACTAAGAGTGAAGCCCAGAAGGCAAAACCCAGGTGGAGTCGAGGTCTCCACCAAGCGGTGACCGAGGGCAGGGCATGCCACTGGCTTAAGGCGGCCGGCGGGAGAAGATGTCTGCCAGGCAGATTGCACAGCAGTGAGTGCGGCGAGCGCTGAGTGAAGCACGCGTGCAAAAGTGTAAAGTGCGGCCATTAATGAGGTGGCCTATCCGATCGGGCCGTTTAATGTCCGATCAGACCCAGATGCAGCAAAGGCTGACCACCATTCCGGAGGGTGAGCGCTTCTCAGCATCAATAAATAAAATAAAATAAAATAAAATAAAATAAAATAAAATAAAATAAAATAAAATAAAATAAAATAAAATAAAATAAAATAAAATAATAAAAATCAGAAACTATGAACTGACACAGTATTTCGGCATCACGGAGAAGTGCCAGGTGTCTCTGTGTGACTACTTTGAAAGAGCACGTTCTGATCTGCTTATGGTCATCCTAACCTCTTACTTTTGGGGTGACCCCACCAATAGAAGGTTCCTAAACCCCTGCTCCTCAAGAGTGGGGTCCCAGGACCAGGCGCCTTAACCTCACCTCCTTGAGGCTTAGTAAAAGGCAAACTCGCCCACCCTAGAAGCTGCCAGAAGCTGGGGTCCATGGAAGTTTCTCAGCGTAGCATGCTCTCCACCTGCGGGCAGGTGACCTGAGTGGCAAAGCCCCAGCGTTGACCCCGGTCATTAATGGTGCAAGCCAGCTTGGTGCGGCCCGCCTTACCTTGGGGAAGGCGTCGGGCCACACGGTGGGGGAGCCGTGGTTGAGCAGCACCTGGATCGTGCTTTGTGCAGCGGCCGCGGGCGCGCAGGCAGCCGCCTGCAGAGCGCGGGCCAGCGGCGAGGCGCCCCCGTAGTCGAGCGCACCCGCGTGGGCGCCGTGCAGCAGCAAGAGGCGCACCAGGCTGTGCTGCGCATGGCCGCAGGCCTTGTGCAGCGGGGTGCGCTCGTCCTCGTCCCGCGCGTCCACTGCCGCACCGTGCTGGAGCAGCAGCGCGCACAGACGCAAGCCGCGTGTGTGCTCCAGGTCGTCGAGTCTCTGCGCCGCGCCACAAGCCAGGCTCAGTGCTGTCTCCCCGCGGCTGTTCCTTGCGTCCACTCGTGCCCTGCAGTCCAGGTAGAGGCGCGCGTGATCGTCCAGGCCGTGCTGTGCCGCCACGTGCAGTGGGGTGTCCTGGCCCGTGCCCCCAGCTTGCTGCACCGAGGCGCCATGCTCCAGCAGGGCCTCCGCACACCTGTGGGGAGGCAGAGGTAGGTACCCCGGAGGGCGAGGGCCTCTGCCTCGAGGCTGGAATTTATGGGGTGAGTTATCCCACTCAAATGTCGAGGGTACCCCCGAGAAGAAAAGCATGCATGCGGGGCTCCTGTGCCAGGGCCATAGGGGTTCCAGCTGGGCTGGGAAAAAGTAAGATTATGGCAAACATGGAGCTCGAGCTCCGCAGGTTAGGACTGGTGGAGGACCCCAGGGGCAGCACCTAAGAACTCAGAGTTACAGGGCAAGACACATTGGAACCGCTTTGGAAGGCAATGAGCAGTGGATGTGCTGACTGCCAGGATGCCTGTCACCCTGGACGCCGAGGCGTTCCCCTGGAGCAGCAGGGTCTCCTCAGGACCCTGTGTTTCTCCCCCAAAAGGCTTGGCTTTGGGGACCATGGGAGGCAGAGTGCCCTGTGGTCACCGACTTACCTAGGAATCCTCAGGCCGCCCTACCAGCATCATGGGGACACGCCATCCCTAAAGGGTAGTCCTTGCACTCCAACCAGTTTCTCCTGATCAGACTGGCTTTTGGCTGGGTTCCAATCCTCCATCAGTCTATTGGGGCTTCAGGGTCCCCAGAGGGCACTGCTGTCTCCCCTTGGCAAGTGGTTCTTCCAGCTTCACCAGCTGGACCCAAGACTGCCCTGTGCCTCTCATGCATGGCAGCCTACCCAGCACTTGGTTGGTGCTAAGATGGTGGCAGCTGGCCAGGCGGGCCCACACTGGCCTCATGATCAGGCATCTAGCGGGCAGCTCTGTCTGCCCCAACCTGAGAGTGGGGTCAGTTGCTGACCTTCCTCCAGTCCAATGGCCCTTGTCCTCCATGGGTACCTCAGCCACCTGCCTCTGCATCACCTCTTACACAGTGCCATCCCCAGGCCACTTCAGGTTTGGTGCCTGACACTCTGGCCTGCTGACTTCAGACCACAGTCCTTGCCCCTCTTGCCACCAACATTCACAGCCACAGTGGTCACTGCTGCCCTGGTAGTCCGAGTTCCTGTCTCCTCATCCCTTATCCCCTGGCTTCCTTTCCCTCCTGTGTTGTGCTGTGAGCACTTTTCTCAATTCCCCCTTTCCTCTGCTGCTACTGTCACTGTCCTTCAGGAGTCTGGATCATTTCTTGGTAGAGGATTACAAGTCTCCTGCTGGACTGACAGCAGCATGGCCACATCTGCACCCAGAACCATCCTCTCCCTGTTCTCTACCTATCTGATGAGCCCTGTGGGAGGGAGCTGCTGTCCTGGATACTGGCCTCTGTCTCAGCTGGCAGCAGGGGGTGATTCGTGAATTACTGAATTTCACTGTTGAAGGCCAGCTCTTCATCCCTCACTATATTAGCCATCTCCTCCTTGATGGAACAAAACACCTGACGTTGCCAGTGCAAAGGAGGAGAGGCTTAACTGGGCTCACGTCTCAGTGGGTTCAGTACGTGGTCAGCCGGCTCCAGGCGGAAGTGCAGGCATGGTGAGAGGGCATGGTGGGCGTCCTTGCTTTTTGAGCCTGTGCTCTGGCCCTGAGCTCTGCCTCCCAGCCTACCATCTCCTTCTTATTATCTATTAGTCTCTGTGGAGTGGGAGGCTATGGTAGTTGATACATTGTGTCGACTTGGCTAAATGGCTGGTAGTTCTGGGCATAGGTGCCTCCCCTGCCCTGCAGGGGGCAAGGCCAAACCTGGGGTGGGATTGGCTCCACCCTAGGGCCATGGGCCACCCCAGGGTGACTCAGCAGAAAAGTGTATATGAAGGAGTTAAAGAAGGCTTCCTGGCTGCCCTGCCCTGCCCCCGTGGAGAAGTCCCAGTCTCCAGAGGAGGTACTATCTTCGAGGTGGACCACCGGTCTTCCCAGTCAGTGTAGAAGGAATACAGAGGCTTAATGGACACCGCAGCGGCTGTTCCTCCTCTGCTCTTCATTGTTTTCTGCCGCCTGAACTGCTGTCATTTGCTTTGGAGCCAGCAGAGTATGAACTAAAACCTCCACAAACTGTGAGCTAAATAAATCTTTCCTTCCTTCATTTTCAGTGTCGACTATTCGTCCCAGTGAGTAAAAAGTAACTAAGACAGAGGCCCCTTGCCTGCTGCCTGCTGCAGGTGAGCCTGCTTCAGCAGTCTGAACTTGGTCCTACTCCGGCTGTTCTCCTGTCTGCCCTGATCTGTGGAGAGGCCTCCTTCTTGATCGCCTGCCGTGTCTGTGGAGTGGCCTCTCTTGCCCTGTGTCTGTGGAGCGGCCTCTCTTGCCCTGTGTCTGTGGAGCTGCCTCTTTTTACATTATTTGTCCCTGTGGTATCCTGGTCAGCACCCCGGGGCCTTGTTGTGCCAGTGACTTGCTCTTTGCCTTTCTCTGTCCTCCTCTCTCCCCTGTCCCCAGTGGCAATTGGCCACTTGCCTGGTTGGTGCCATCTCTTTAGTAATCCCTTGAGTGGCTCCTTTCCGCCACTGCCACTGTGTCAAGCCTCTCTGAGGCTGATCTCTTGCTGCAGTATTCCAAGTCTCCTCATTTGTCTGTTGCTCCAGTCTGGCCACCTCCCCGTCTCTAGAAAAGGTCTTGGTAGCAGGAATCTGCTCCTGCTTCTATCCCAACTGCTCTCCCACGGCTGCATAAAGCCCCCCCCCTCCCCCCCGGTACAGTGCAGCAGCTTCTCCTCCTGAGGTTGCACCTGCCTGCTCAGTGGTACCCATCCAGGGTGGCTCGTAGGCCTGCCCTCCTTTCCCATGCTACCAGGCAGAGGGACCACACTGTGCATGCCCAGCCTGACAGGTGTCACATCACGTTTCCCAGGTTGTTGGCATCTTGTCTCCACACTCTGTTGGCACCCGAGTGTGGAACTGGGCTCATTTCGCGTCTGATTCTCAAGGCCTAGGTTGCTAAACCCATTGTTAGCATCCCTTGAATGCATGTTGAGCAAATGCATTTCATTAATGAACAGCGTTCGGCTCTTCCTCATGTTGCTGCTCTTTCCCCGCTGTCTACCTTGCTGGGGCTGTGAACCACATCGCCATGGAGGGCTGACTGCAGCTGCCTCAAGCCTCTGTGTGTCCTCCTAGGATCCCAGCCCTCTGCGTCCCCCTTGGCATTTTTCTGGCCTCTGCCTCATCAATATCTTGAGAAGTGGTGGGTGTTGGGTGAAAGATCTTTACAGAGAAGTAGAATGTAATGCGAAATGTCTGTTGGGACAATAGCCGGCTAAGAGAAGATGTAAATTTCACAATCAGAGTGCTTCAGCTTGCTTCCTGCTTGCTTCTTGTGGAGGAATCTTGAGCTCGCAGCAGGAGGTAAGAAGTCAGTCCCGCCATCCCCTTTGGCCACTGAGCCTCGCAACAGACACAAAACCTTTTCTTCTATTTTTTTCCCCAGAGCTTCTCAGGCCCTGAGGATGTCCACTGGGGACACAGCCAGTCCCCTTTCCAGGTCCCCAGCCTAACTGGCTAATGGCTAGGTTGCTGCTGCAGAAGGGAGGGGGCCGTCCCCCCTCCCCAAGGCTGTGGGCACTTTTCTTATTTTTAATGAACAGCTTCTAGTTGCCTAAGCCTTCGCGCCCTCTTGCAGTGGGCAGTGGTTTCCGTTGTGGATCAGAGGCGAGAGGACAAACAACAGCACAAATTGACAAGCACATGTCTCTGTCAGTGCATGCTGGGCCGTCATTAAGATTGAAGGCATGAGAGTCTGTGGAGTAGCATGGAAGGGCCCGTGCATGGCTGTGTGGATCTGGCAGGCTACAAAGTAGGATCTCATGAGGATGGTCTCATTTTAAAAAGCCATCCATCAGTGTGTGTGCAGGGGCCATGGGTCGTCTTCTCCCATGGTGGGGCCGTAGAATTTGACTCCATTTTGCCTGCCTGTATTCTCAGATTTTCCAAAACAAATCAGAGTGGTGGTTTGAAATATGCACAGCAAACGTTATTAATCACAAAACAACCCCACCAGCTGCAAGCTGCTCTCAGACACTGAGGAAGTCAGCCTGGCTTTCCGGGCTGCCAGAATACCCTGGACATTTTCATGAGTGGGTTTGGCATCTGTAGTAGCCTTGGTGCCCCTGTGGGGTGATACTGAAAGGGCAGTGAAAGCCAAGGATGGCCAATGGGCAGTGCCCAGGGGCTGGCAGAGCAGTGGGGACCTCCTAGGCCCCACTGGGGATCCAGATGCTTCCTTAAACATGTTACTCTTTCCGTGCTGCATATGTGTCCCTGACAAAGAAATGGTCCAGAGGGAAAGTGGCCAGCGGGGCAGTGAGCATGCACCTTAGCAGGACAGATAGGCCTGTGCTCGGTGTGGAAGGGGTCTGACTGGCACCTGGGATGGCGTCAGGCATGTCTTCACCTCACAGCGACTTGAGAGACGTGGCGTGCTCTCAGTGGCGGGCTGGAGACGTGCTCCCGCCCCCTTCCCTACCTCCTCCCTATCTTTGATGATGACTGTGGTGGCAACCTACCTGGCCCAAGCTGGACAGTACAAAGGACACCTGACCCAAAGGCAGGCGTGACAGAGACAGGCCAAGAGGGGCCAGTGGCCTCTTAATTCACTCCTAGGGGAGGCAGACTCAAGAGCCTCTCGCCCCGCTCTGCTCCCAGCCACCCCGTGGGAGCTCTGCTGTAGGAAGAACTCGCACTTGGGGAAACCTAGGACTGAAAGAACCCCAATGGCTCGCAGGAGGCCTTGCAGCCGGGAGCGGCAGAGCAGGGGCCTGGGCGCCCTATCCAGCTTCTGAGTTGGCCACTTCTGCCCTGCTGCATCCTCTGAGGGCTGGAGCATTTGTCCCAGAACCTCCCTGGGGCTGGCGTGCACGTGGTGGTCCCAAGGGGAACAACAGAGCGGGAAACTCCTATTGCCTTCTCTTCAAGCCGCACCTTTCTGCTTAGCTGCATTTACCTGTGAGGCATTTTCCACGTGCTATCACTAAGTTCCTCGTTCGTACATTCCTTCATTCATGCGTTCAGCAGAAAGCATGCACCCTGCTCTTCTCTTAGCCCTCCTGAGAGCTCCT